AAATGTATGTACTGTCCGCCAAGAACCAAAAAAGTGACTATTAGTGGAGACTTGACTGTGTAAAGGATCTTAATTTTTTTTAATTTCTACTGTGTATTGTTTGTGGTGTACTGTCCTTTTTGTTATAGTACTGTCTGTTTTTAAAAACGAGAAAAGAAGGTGACTCGAAACATTGGAAGAACTCTAAGTCAGTGCAGTAAAAATGATATTGACAATTTCGAACATTAAAACTTAAGCAAGTTAAATCCCGGATAATCGATTTTTTTCGAAGGCATATTTTGTTTCACCCTGGGCTGAAAAAGGTCACAGACACACGCGGCTTCCCATAGTTTTGTTGGGTAAAGTGAAGTGCGCAGGTTTCTTCACACAAAACAAAACCAGGGCAAAAGAGATTAGAGTTAGAAACTGTACTGACCCCACTCGTGAAGAGACCATGAAATATTTAATTCTTTAGGAGGAGGATCGACTTGAAATTGCTCTGAAAGAAATATTCTCTTTTCCATAGCTTCTGAAACCGTTACCATTTGTTAAGTACACAGTTTGAAAAATATTGACATACCATAATAAAGGAATAAAACAATACTGTTTGTTTTCACTTCGCTTCCTTAGTAGGTAGATCATCTCATAGTCAAAAAAGACCCGTTAGCGTTGTAACTGACTAACCTAGCATTAGTTCTTTTGTTTTATTTATTTTGCTTTGACAAAGGATATCTGGAGGAGGATGCTCTCAACTGATCTAAAAATGCATTTGCTTTGAAATTTTTTTGTTGAAAATATAATAGCACTCTCTAGATTGAAAATTAATCTGAACAAGAAATTATCCCTAAGACTAAGTATTTTTCTTAAGTGTGCTTCGGTCATAAACAGTGCATGAAACGCGAAAAGAGTTCCTGATCAAAACTTGTGTTGTATTCCCAGATAGAACATGGAGAGGAAATCACTAACGAAAGATGGTACAAAACTATCAAGGCAAAAGTGTATTGGAGTCTTGGAGTTAAATACTTTGATGTTAGCGATTACAAGAAAGCTTTCGAGTACTGGGAGCTTCGTCTTAGTATTGCCAAGGATGCTGGAGATGAAGGACAGCAAGCAAGTCTATATGGTAGTCTTGGTGTCATTCATTTCCATCTGGGCAATTTGAAGACAGCCATGGAGTATCATCAGCAATATCTTAGTCTTGCCAAGGATGTTGGAGATAAACGAGAACAAGCACGTGCATATGGTTATCTTGGTGAAGTTCATTGCCATCTCGGTAATTTTAAGACAGCCATGGAGTGCCACCAGCAATGTCTTAGTGCTGCCAAGGATGTTGGAGATAAAGGAGCACAGGGACAGGCATATGGTGAT